TCAGTCACAAAATCTACGAGGGCTTGGCTCTTGATGGCGTTTCAAGGTCAGAACAGTAGGACGAACTCGCTGAGCTCGATTGCCCATTTTAGCAAATAACTCGAAGCGTCTGTTCTCGGCAACATTTGCTTCAAGGGGAAGTTGGTGAGAACTTCAATTGAATGGGTCTGAAAGTATGGTCTCAACTTCCTTGATGTTGTAACAAGAGAGAGTGCAAGCTTTTCCATGTCAGGGTAGCGCTTCTCCGTTGGGAGTAGTGCCTTGCTAATATAGTACATAAGCAGTTGATACGTGTTTTCTTCTCTGACAAGGACTGCGCTAATAGCCTTGTCTGAGACTGCTAAGTACAGCAGCAATGGTTCTCGTAGCTTAGGTTTGGATAGCAGGAGTGCCTCTCTTAAGTGCTTCCTCAGCGCTCGGAAGGCTTCCTCGCACTCATCCGTCCATTGAAACTTCTTTCCTTGCTTCAGGATTTTGAAGAAGGGTAGGCTCTTGTCAGTGGCCTTGGAGATGAAGCGGCTGAGTGCGGCTATCCGTCCATTGAGGCTTTGGACCTCTTTTGGCTTCTAAGGCAACCTCATTTCCAATAAGGCCCTTATCTTTCCGAATTTGCCTCGATTCCTCTTTGGTTCACAATATACCCTGGAAATTGACCCGAAGCTACCCCGAAGGTGCACTTCAGAAGGTTCAACTTCATCTTATACTTTCTAAGAATCTGAAAGGTCTGGTCGAGGTGACTTATGTGTTCTTTCACCTGGAGGCTTTTAACTAGCATGTCGTCCACGTAGACCTCCATGGTTTTGCCAATGAGCTCGGCAAACATCATATTGACCAGCCTTTGGTATGTAGCTCCGACATTTTTCAATCTGAAGGGCATCACCTTATAGCAATACAATCCTCTGTCTGTGATGAACGATGTGGATTCCTCATCAGGTCAGAACATGGGTATCTGGTTGTATCTTAAGTATTCATCCATGAAGCTTAAGAGTTCATGTCTAGCAATGGAGTTCACTAGTTGGTCTATCATTGGGAGAGGAAAGCTGTCCTTGGGACATGCCTTGTTCAAATTCGTGAAGTCTACACACACCCTCCATTTCTCACTAGGTTTCTTTACGAGGACCGGGTTGGATATCCACTTCGGATAGATAGCTTCTCTGATGAAGCCGCTGTGACTGAGTTTGTCGACTTCTTCTTTGAGTGCCTCATATCGCTCTAAATTGAGGGCTCGTCTTTTCTATCGATGTGGGGCGCAAGAGAAGTTGATGTTAAGGTGGTGGCAACTGATCCTTAGGTCTACTCCCACCATGCCTTCGTGCTTCCAGGCGAAGACATCTAAGTTCCTTTTCAGAAAGTTCATCACTTCTTCTTTCACTTCGGGTGGTAGTGATTTCCCAATTCGCAAGACCTGAGTGGGGTCTTCAGCGTTGATGGGGAAAGTTTCCAGTTCTTCCATTGGAGTCGCATTTGGTTTGGACTCGATAACTTAAGGGTCTAACTCATCAAGAGGGTGCCCTTCCTCAGGGGCCTCTACCACTATGGCTCTTACCACTAACGCATCACAATGGGGATGGTGAACTTCTTGTGCATCTTCTTGAGAGAAAGTGATCGGGGCCATTTTGTTAGCCTCTTGGGTTTGATTGACAATGTAAATAATAATTGGTGGATCCTTTGCTTCCCTTGTGTAGTTCCGCTGGGCGTTCCTGGTATTGTCCCCGATGTGAGGTCCTCCAATGATTATATCAATTTTCCTGATAACTTGGCCTCCAGATGGTGCCCGAGCCCTATGCCTGGATTCTCCTCTGTCCCTGGATTCTCTCCTCCAGGGTAATTGGTCTCTTTATCGCCTCTCTCCCCTATTCGGGGAGATGGACCTGTGGGTGTATTCATCCTTTCTCGAGGAGCGTGGGTTACTTCGGCTCGAGGATTGAGAAGCATCTCTACATTCGTTGGTGTCGTGTACGTAAAGTTGGTAAAAGGTGCAGAACCTTGCCCCTTCCAAGGGCCTGTTTGATCGCTTCTTCTTCTTCTTCTTTCGATTGTTTGTTCCCCCGGATGGCTCTGCCTCGGTAGGAGCATTTTCATATGCTAGCACTAGCATTGCATTTAGAGTGGCTGAAGCAAATGTCTATCCGGATGTGGGGGCTACTGTGTGACCGGCCTGGGTCCATTGCTAGGTGACGAGGTATGGGGCTGGTCCTTAACCCATCTACCTCTGAGGCGGGGGAAAGTCCCTTAGCCGTGCGGTTCTGGTGGTCAATCATCTCCTCATTGACAATTTTCACCCTCATCATTTCAACCAGCTCATCATAGGTGGTGGGATTCTTATGGCGTACATCCCTGCAGAATAGAGTGTTCATGTTGAGACCACCTTTCAAGGTTGAAAGGGCCTCCCCGTCAGTGACTTGCACGCAGTACGTGATTTCGTCGGTGAATCTGGTGAGATAGATTTTTAGCGTCTCGCCAGGAGCTTGCCTCATGTCTTGCAAGCGTTGCATTAGGGCCTCTCCTTTCCTTCGTGAAAGGTATTGGTTCAGAAATGCATTCTTCAAGTCTGGCCAGCTTCTGATGCTCAGGGTGGTAATCTGCTGTACCACACTTCAACAGATCCGGTGAGGGTTAGATCAAAGGCCCTACATTTCAGTGCCGGCGAGGCTCCTTTGAGGGTCATCTGCGTCATGTACTTAGTCAGGTGTTTTGTGGGTCCCCCTTTCCTTCATACTTTAGGATTTTAGGGGGTATGAAGTTTGCAGGCATCGGGAAGCTTCGAATTTCTCTAGAGAATGGGAGGTTGTCATCATCATCGATTTTGTAGGAGCGGCATGGCCCTTTAGAGCTTTCTCCCTCTGATGCATTTTTGGGAGGTGGAGGTGCCTCTTCTTGACTACCCCAATCCATTAGGTTTCTCCTCTCCCGCCTATTTTTAGGCGAAGGAGGTACTTGTTCTTGCTCCTGCTCTTGTCGGACTGATCTTTGCATGGAGTGGACCCTATTGCTAGAGTTCTGCCATATTCTATGGAAGACACTGACTAACCTTTGGGGTTCGTATTTTGGTGGGAAGTTCTCTCCTAGTGGTGGTGCTACTAGTTGGCTTCCTTACACGTAGGATGTCACATCCACACCCACTTCTCTTTCAAGGGAGTGTTCTCAGCGCTGGCTCGAATGGCCTCGGCCATGAGGTGTGGGAATTTCTTGAGCTGGATATGATCCTTGAGGCTTCTGGAAGCCATGATGACCTCGGGCCTGCATGAAGAATTCGTGCATCGCCACATTCTGAGTGGCAATGTCCCTCATTCCGGCAGGTATTTGAGTCATTCCTTCAGTGAGCGCTGTTGTGCTGTTGCCTCGATGACGTCGATGATGGCATCTCCGATGCGTGACATTGGTCCTCATTACCTCTTCTTCAGAAGCATCCCTGTGCCCTTCAAAATTTGCATCTTCATTACTATAACTCATTTTGTTTATCCTTTCAAAGGTGTTAAGAACCTTGTAGGTTGACCTTATTCTTTTTCAAGAACGTGCCCTTTTCAGGGTAAGTCGATGGTTTGTTGGTGGCTTTTCCGATGGATAATGTGGAACTTTTGGATGGAAACCTTCCCACAGACGGTGCCAATCTGTTGACCTCGATAATTGGACCCTCCACGTGGCCAATGGATAGCTACTCCACGTAATCCTCCATGCGCACAACAACGCATGGTCAGAAGCACACGGCCAGAACTAGCGGTGGCGGCGGCGGCCGCATACACTTCTACGGTCAAGTCAGCGTTGGGTGATCGGAACAGTGCTCAAGTTATGCAAGAGAGTGGGGAGGAGAATATATATTACTTAGTATGGAGAGCTAAGTTATAAGAGTTTCATTACCACTGTCTCTTGCTAAACCTTGGGTATTTATAGATGTAGAGCGCCGTTGGATGTGAGACACGTGCATGCATCTGATGGTATGAGGCATCTGCTTATAGACGCCAATCAGCCACGTCTAATGTGGGCGGACAATTAGTTCTTCTGAGTTGAGTTGATATAAAGTCAATATATCATATCAACTAAACCCATGGAGACGTCACATCAAGATCCTGACAGATATCTTTCGGACAGTAGCGACGGAGGGATCTGTTAAGAGAGTGCCTCGGATCCTTAAACGCTTCGGCGTTAGGGGCACTTCAGTTACTTCATTGGATCTACTCTTTACCTTGCAGCGCGCCATGTTGAGGTCCTCAGGAATTGGTACCACTTCGGAAACACTTCGAATGTACACGTGTCACTTCGGAGAGTGTTGAGATTGTTGTGCCGAAGTGGTTTAGTTAGGGGCGTAATAGAATAAATATAAGATAAAATAGTTTTAAAAGATTGACCTTGAGAAAACCTATATCAAATAGATTACCTCAAAAAGTTAAATATTTTAGATACAAAATAACACTAAAATTTTATTTAAAACTAATAAATAACATGTTAAGTATTAGACATTTAAAAGAATATTTAGAATATACATTTTTAAAAGAAAAATGATAGATTGTCATATATGTTGCAATATAGAAAGAATCATTTCATTTAGGACAATATAGACTTTTCCATGAAAAGAAATAGTAATAGGCCAAATAGAAAAACCCCTGTATATTGTCATGTTTTGTTAAATTGGAAATTTTTTGAATTATTAACATCAATATAAATTATATAGAATTTAGATATTAAACAATTATAACTTATAACTTGTATCGCTAGACACTTTATTTACATTGAGTTAGTGAATTTGAAAAATCACTCGTAATCAAATTTGATCGGAACTAAATAATTCGATCTAGTTCGAAATATGGAATCAGTGGTTCAATTTTCAAAAATTTATTCGTACACGGTTTGATTTGATTCTATGTAGAATTGGATCAAATCGAACTATGCTCAATCTTAGTTTTTGTGCAAAATTATTTTATTGAAATAATGTTTGATTGAAAATGAGTTGAAGAAAAAATATGTTAATAGGATCCAGATGCGACTGATTTATCAAGAAAATATAAGGGCAGAGGCCATCTCGTGAATAATTCCTTCCCTTCCCTTCCCTTCCTTCACTTGGGAGTGCTGCTTAAAATTCCCTAAAATACTATTTTGTGTAAATTTGGATTTCCCATCAAGATATATTCAACGTAAGCCCAAAGTCCTTTGAATCTTCTCCCCTCTTCCGTCAGTAACAAAAGCTTCAGCTGTAGCTGTTGGTTGATGATTCCGAATCCGTGCCTAGCAAAGGAAGAGCCATAGAGATACCCCTAAATTATGAGCAAACGAAATTGGGTAGCAGAAAATTACTATTCTAAGGATTTCGAGTGGGATGAATTGAGACAAGAAGTTGAAAACGACCCCTCTCTTCAATACCACTTGCTGCCTTACACAAAAGTTGATTCTGGAAATCAAGACGACGTTCAAGACTCTGAAGCATGGGACAAGTTTCATGCTCGTCACTCCACTGGCAAGTTCTTTACGGTAAAGGGAGGAAAACAAGTATTTTTTTTTTTTTTTGATAAATTATAAATAAAAACTAATGAAGGCACTTTTCTTGTAATTCGTGTTCAATTGATTTTTTCTTTTCTTTTGTGCTTGAGTATAGATATTTATATTTAGTTTCATGTGGATACTCGGTCTTCCTGTTTTTGGAGGATAATTTTGTGGAAGGCAATGTGAGCAGTAAGATTTTGATATCTCTTTCTTTTTTTGGGATTATTTTACACATTGCATATTGGTATCTGAGTCATAGATGTTGGTGGGAATTCTTCTGCGACTTTATGTAACTATGTTGCTTTCCTTAAGAAAATATTTGTCCCTCACCAATAATGAATGCACAAGAGATACCGAATATGCCTCCAGGAGACAATTAAACGTCTTTGAATGGTGTCGGCATCTGTGCGCTTAATGAAAACGACTAGAACACCAAGATCTTGATAAACTTATACAAGTGGATTCATATTCCGCTATAGCAGAATATAAAGTTTGAATTTATTCAAAATTAAGCTAAAAAGAATGCAAGAAACTGTAGAAGGCAGACAGAATAATCTACTATTCTATTTCACATATCTAATCAAGGAAAACTTGAATCAATATATAGCTTCATGTCACGCCCTTTCCGATAAGTTGCAACCACTGGAACTGATCTTTTAGGTTTGAAATGCATCAAAGAAAAATGAAAGAATTTGAATTCTAACACCCAAAGATCTGTTGGTGATGAAAAGACACCATTGGTGTCGCTTAGCAGCATGCCGGCCAGCACCACATTGCCAAAAAGTCAGTGCAGGTGTGCTGCCATGCAGTATCCTAGCGCAATTGCACTAGCCTGCACTAGCTTGCCAAAATTTTGTCTAGTTCCTTCATAATTCATTATCCCGTCTTGTTCCAATGCTTCTTGACTTGTATTTCTATCTTTGATTCATTGTCTAAACGACATTCTTTTGAAAATCTATCCAACAGAAAATCCACCTTTTGATTCGGAATCTGGATCAAACACAATGGTGGAAACTGCTGACTAGTGGTCTGTATGTACATATATTAACATATGTCTTGATTGAAAAAATGTGGATGCAAGGATATGGATGTATGTATATAGTAAAAATGAGGTATTGACTCCACCTTCTACAATAAAGTGCTTGTTTGGTATAGATTGTAAGCCAATTAAAATCAATCTTTTGACCGTCATTTCACTATTCTAGACGTCGTTTTTGAATTCTTCTCTCAGGACCCACTTTATCTCTAACGGTAAAAAAATCGATTAACAAAATTCCTACCAATCAAACACAAAAGTTTTTAAGTAAAATAGATTCTCAGAAACTTTCAGAATGCAGCTAGACTTAGCATTCCAGAGTTTCACTGCAATAAGCACGAGTCATCAAGCAGTACTTGAAAATTTCATGTCAAAGTTCGCTCTGAGGAAAAGGTTATACTATCAAATGTACAAAAAAAATTTGGATATGTTAACCAAATGTGTTTCTGGTCTTCCAGCGTGCAGGCTGACATGTAAAAACATAAAACAAAAACATCTTGAAAACTTTTGGAGAATTTTATGAGACACTTTTTCAGAAGCAATCTGAAATGAACCTCAATAAGGCTATACCACCAAGGGGGCTTTTCTTACAACTATTTAAGAATACCTGCATAAAAGGCCTAGCTAATGGGTTTCTTTGCTCTTCTGTAGTCAGGCTCTTGACTTTGATTGTTTCTTTCATTCATGCCTCGGAAACCGTGTAATTACTCTAGCTTGGCCCATAGTAAGTTTTTTAGTTTATATATTTATTTATTTTTTCTCTCGAGTTATTTTTGGCTTTTGTTTTCCTTGATTATTGTTTGTTCTGAATTGGCTGGCATGTGCATTTGATGTTTGCTTGAGTTTCTTGATAGCAATTCTTCTTTATTTACTTTATTTTGATGCATATTCTAGTTCTTTCTTTCTTTGCTTGTTTCAGTTTTAACTTTTAACATCTATCTGTGCATGCAGGAGAGAAGGTACTTATTGAAGGAGTTTCCTGAACTAGCTTCTTGTAAGGACTTTTCCAAGGTTTTGGAGGTGGGCTGTGGTAACGGCAGTACAGCTCTACCAATACTACGGTAAGATTGAGCTTGTTCTTTTAGTTTCATATGCAATTTTTAAGTTTTAATTTTACACTCTGTAGAGTGCTTTGTGACCAGATTAATCCTTCATTTAAATATCCACTGGGAAAATTAATTTGTCATACTGTTATATCCCATGTTAGGATACATTATAAACTGTGCAACAGTTCTTTTGATTCTGGTTTCGCTCACTTTAGTCAATAACTCATTTACTCAGCTCAAGAACTCCGATAAGAAGAGTTAAAAGGACTATTTCCCCTCCATGAATATGTATAAATTCCATGAGCAGCGATTGAAGTCAATAGTTCAAGTTCATCAAGTATGTATGAAAACTGCGAATTTTTCCCATGTGTGTTGGGAAGCACAGATTAGATTCTGTAGTTTTAGGAAGGTTTTTACTCTTTATTGATATGAATTTCTTCTCTACCACATGATATCTTGTTCAATCAGTAAATAATCTCTGTCTCTGTCTCTGTCTCTCTCTCTCTCTCTCGGTTTAGCGAGTTTGACAAATAAGATATTTCCCGATCCTCTTAAAAACCTGCATTTTTGCTAATTAATATTTTGCATCATCTATTTTCTTCTCAGTTGCCTGTACTTCTGCTGAATTTTTGTTCCTGTGATGCAGTGAAAAAGAGAGCACCATCTTGTATGCCTGTGACTGCAGCACTGAAGCTCTTGAGAGAGCTAAAGAGATCATTAATGCTGATAACTCAATCTCTACTAAGCATCGTTTTCATTCATTCCAATGTGACTTTTCAACCCTTGGATTTCCTATGTGGTTGGCCTGCAATACTTGTAGAGGAAGTTTCTTGGAGAAGCAGTTTCTAGGCTTCCCAGGTGTCAAAATTTGTCATTCATCTCGTTCTTTGGCATTTCATGTTTATAATCATTTTTCTTTAATACGCTAGCTAGTGAGTTTCAATTTTTTAACCGTTTTTGAGGTTTATCCAGGCGAAGACAACTGTAAGATAGATATCAATAGTCCTTCCTGCTCCGAGGAAAATAAGTGCTGCATTGGTGGAGTGGATTTCATTACCTTGGTACTTACACAGTTTGTTACTATTTTATATTGTAATTCTCTGAAATTTCGTCATAATTTAAACATCTGAATATCATCTTCTATATTTAATATGGCAGATTTTCACATTATCAGCCGTACCACTTGACAGGATGCCCACTGCTATTACCCAATGCTTCTCTATTTTAAAGCCGGGTGGTCTGCTTTTATTCAGGGATTATGGTAACAGCCAAATAAAATAGATTGTATTGAGTCTGAATCTTATAATTGCATAGAGTTTCTAACTTTTCTATTGTTGTCTAAACCTGATAAATCCTTTCCCTGTAATGAAATCAGGTCTTTACGATATGACCATGCTTAGGTTTGAGCCTGCACAAAGAGTGGGATATCGAGAATACTTGCGGTCAGATGGAACACGATCTTATTTCTTCTGCTTGAATAGCGTGAGAAATTTGATGTCTGCTGTGGGCTTCACTGAGGTATTAACAATCTTCGTAAACATAATCCTCTTTTAACTGCTTACCTCAGGGAAACCTTGCATTTGGTGATTTCAAAATTCAAGTTCAATGATACCGAATAAGTAGTCCTTGTTTAATTTCCATCCACTTGTATGGATTATAAGTTCTTTTATCTTTGCACACACCCCCAAATAAAGTTGAGATAGGCCACATGATTCCTTTTTCCTATTCTTTTTGGTTCTTTGTTAAATCTGCTGGAAGATCTAAAACTATTTGCATGGAAAGCTGTTCATAGTTATTGCATGAAGTGCTATTATTATGAAAGTGACTTGCATGTATTGCATGCAATTGCATCTAAGTAATCAAACAAAAAAGTCGAGTTCTGAGGATAATCCGTCTGAAAACTACACTTGGGTTCTGTTAGCTAAATGCATTATTACTTTCTATTACGCCTTTGTTTTCCAATTTCCGTTTATTGCTGATATGAGACATCGCGAGTTTTTTTTGTAGCTTGAGCTCGAATATTGCTGTGTGAAGTCAGTGAATCGCCGGAGCGGGAAGATCATGCGAAGAGTATGGGTTCATGGGAAGTTTCAGAAGCCCATCTGTGATTGAAAGCAGATTACTCGTCTATGGTGGCATTAATCAGCTCTGGCACATCAATTATCTTGATTTCAATCACTTTCTTTGTTATGCCCTTTTTAAAAGGTTATGCCGTGTGCTGACACAGATGTAAAATTTATTTATCTGTAATTTATTCTCAGCACGATCTCACCGGCGCCTTGAGCGCAAATTTTGATCAAAAGCCTGGAGAGAATCAAAATGGAGTGGCGATGAGAAACCTATTACCTTTAAGCATTACAAATGTTCGTGTAAATTTGCATGCAAATTGGTATCTTCAAAATCACTTTTGCTATCTATATACATCTCAATGGGTATATATTAGAAGATTTAAATCCAAATTTTTCCTCTTATAGATAATTTACATTTTATTTTTATTTTCTATCGAAAATTGTAATTTGTATTTCCTTTATATTTCTTCGGTGGAGAGATTTTTGACACTTTGAAAATGTAAATTTCTATTTTGCACCATTATTGGAGATATTCTTAGTGAAAATTACATTGAATGTCATATTTTGAGTTTGCATTTACAAAAATGTCACCTTTTAATAGTTTTGTCCAAACTATCACTTTATGACTTTTATGTCGCTCAAAAAAATTGAAATACCTTGGATATCCTTAATTAAAATTAATTTGACTAGATGAAAGAATAGTACAAAAAACTAATTTGCATTACATCAAAAGCTTCCATCTCACTACTTACAAGGAAAAAAATATGAAAAATAAAAAGCTAAAAATATTCATTCATATAGCAAGTAAAGCCCTAAACCTAAACGACTTTCAATTTCCTCTCTCATTCTCTCTCGCTCAAGGTCGTTTGTGATTGCCAAAATATTATTTTTGCCCAGGTTTCTTGGTCTAAAAATTTCATACAGTTTACTCTGGTAGCCATGTTGAAGTCCTAAATCTATGTACATTTTATTGAAATTATATGGAATCTGCTTAAGTTTAGGAGAACTGTTGAAGATTAATATCTACTTTTTGGTATGTTTCTTTTTATTTTATTTTTTTCTGACTTGATTTGGATATTTTCATGTTCCCTTAAAGAAAAAAATGTTGTGATTCGAAAAGAGAGTAACTTGATTCATGGGATTTTTTCTGTTGATGGTGGAAAGATAGAAATGTTGGTTTGGTTGCAAGTTCATTGTAATTTTTATCTTTACTTTCTTATAACCGATATCATGTAATCTAGCGAGTATCCTTGTGAACTTACAAATTTTGGTGTGCAATAAGATGGTTGTTATGTAAATGGACTTCTTGCATTTCTTAATCAACAAACAATGGTCAAGCTCCTGTTAGTTAATGGTAGAAGATTATCTATGAGTAAGAATAAAGGTCTCTTCACCATACATAGTATTTTAATAAATAACTATTAAAAATGTGAAAAGCATATGATCATGCATACTGGGCATATGATCCTGCAACCGGGGTAAAAAGCATATTTGTGGATTTAATGTTTCGTTCTGCTCGAATATGGAGTGAAAAGCTTTTGTATAATACCTATGTGGGAAGGAAAAAACTAGATTTCTCGACAGTTCATCTGTCGAAAGTTGTTGCTGAACATGTATAATTGCACTTATTGAGCTCGTACTAGATGCAATAAAACTCTACTCTGATACATTTTATAATGCAAATGGATTGAATCACAAACTCTACACACCTTTTGGAAATTCTATCAAACGTTTTGTTATTTTGTGAGGTGATCGATAAAGATAGCATGGACCTGAACGCTATTACATTTCTTCACCTTACTTTCTACGTGTTTTGTCTCAGAATACTCATTTTACTTATGTATGATGGCCTATGTACAGAATCGTACTCATGACCTGAACAAGTATCAAAGTGTTGGTCGACAGGTTCTTGTTGTAATGGGAGGTGGATCCAATCGATGTCCATGTCAAAGAAAGAGCGACGTTGACAATGTTTTACTTCGGGTGACTGCGGAGAATGCACGAAGGAACATTTTGTTTTGTATTATTGTATATTTATTTTTTGGGAAATGTTGGTTATGTTCAAGTGGTATTCACTGTCAAAGAAACTGTGTGAATTTAGTACGAAAAATGTTGGTACGGAAACTGTTTTTGGCGCACTTTGTAAGTTTCTTACTTTTTGAACTCATTCGACCTAAAGATTAAAACTGGTATCCATATTGAAAAATGAAAATTGATGCATTTTATAAGTTTCTCGCTTTCGAAAAATGAGGAAATTTGTGCATTTTATAAGTTTCTCGCTTCCGAAAAAATGAAAATTATAAGTTTGACCAATATCCAGATCATAGTTTATAAATGGAAATTATAAAAATTATAAGTTTCTCGTTTTTAGAGAAATTGAAATTAATGCATTTTATAAGTTTCTCTTTGAAAACACCAATGAGAAAATAATAGTGAATGTCTGACCAATACAAGTACACTTTGTGGTTGAAGGCATAATCCACCCTTTGAAAGACTAGAGAAGCTCTTGTGAAGCTCCCATATTGAAACAATTAGTTGATACGAGATAATGGGTTCATTCACCTCCAGCAACGAATCATTCAACCCTAATATGCATTCGTCGATACTGGGTTCGGCCGCTGAATTTCCCATCATTTATCCTCGGACGATGAGGAGGTAAGCATTGAGCACCATGGTGCCGAGTTCGACGAAGTGTCAAGTGCAGAATCTAAGTCACCGAACAGCGTGCTCGATTAAGTTTTCTAGGTCAGGGGTCCGATCGAATCACCGTCCGACTCGGATGAGTAGCTGGCTCATCTTCCACATCCAGAAATAATTGTCATAAGTTCAGACGATTCTAATGGAAAAAGTGGGGGAAAAGCTTAAAATGTCGATAGCAATGCAAGTGTACAATAAATGACCCTTTTGTAGGAAATTATGTATAGTATTTAGTGGTAGGGATCATTTTGCTCACGTCCTCTGCGTACATGCAGCAACAGCAAGTCCATAATGGGTTACTGCTATAGTGTATTTTTGGAAGTCGTTATTGTTCCCAACTATCGAGAATTACAGAGACCATCTGTCGGGAACGACATATGAACAATTGGGACGTAATGTTGGTATTTTGCTTGTGAATTGTCGTTTCATGAAAATCAATTTTCCATTTCGACAAATTGTCAGTCGAAATTAATGAAACCATAATGATCGGCTAAGTTTATAATGAAAATAATGTATACATCCCGTTTGTGCTAATGGAACCATAATGATCAGTACTTTGCTTGCAAAACATAACGACCAATTTCTTATTAGCATATGATAATAACAACAAATTAATAACATAACTTCAGAATGTACACCGCATAGGGGGAACATTTTTAGGATTACATTTGACAACCACTTTTACCACCAATTTAAGTCTTCATCGTTGCGTATTTCGGCCGAAAGTATATTCAAGTTAGGGACTTTGAACTTCAATTCAATTTGAGTGTGAGGATCAAGAATACCAAGTTTGTCTTTCAACCTCAACAAAGTTCGGCTACGATAATACTTGTCGGCACCAGAATGGAAGTGGTTTTGTCCCCTCTCCACTTTCATTCGTCATCCGTATGAACAAATTTTTCCACATACGATACGATGAATCTCAAATGATTACTCATACCTGAAATGTTGGGATTGCAATGATAAGAATTCAGAATTAATATGTTAGCATTTAATAGTATGAAAGTGGCACTACATAATACGTAAATAAGTACAATAGCAAAAGGTCAAATGAAGGGTTTCCATCGTTTTGAAGTGTCCAAATTGAAAGTAAAATTGTATATCCCGACAGCTTATAAATGTCGAGTTTAACATTTCAAACGTTTAACCCGACGGTTTGTAAATGTCAAATTCGATAGTTGAACTGTCGAAAATGTCGGGAAGCAGACGGCAGTGGGTGGAACTTATGCTTCTTCAGCACAACACATTAAGTGTGGTCATTACTATTGAGCTATCAAATGACAAAATGAAAAGATCAGATTGACTTTATCATTAAAGAGACATTTAATGAAAACAGTGTTTGGTTTGAATGGAAGAAATTACTCAAAACTTTAATAGTGATAATGACATTTTGTGAAGGACTCCAAAACCAAATAAATCAATGCATAATAGTTTCAAAAATTTCAAATTAATATGCCCATGTTGTATTTAACATTTATAAAACAAAAGACTATAAGTAAAATATAAATAATTTGTAATTGTTAACCTCTCAAAATGGATGAAGAATACAGCAGAAATGTCTTCTTGATCAATGAAAATGAAAAAGATGGAGAAAATTTAGGGTTTGTAGTTTATGTTTCATTTTTAAATTTCTTTTACCCTTTTTTATTAAAAAAAATTCATATTAATCAATAAAATACACATTTATCCATGTTTTGTATATAGAAATTAAATCATCACAACAAATCAATAATTTTCCTTCAAATCAAGCATTAAATGCTACTAAAAATACGTCATTAAGGGTAATTCGGACTTTTCACTCCAAAAAAGTGACATTTTTGCTTACATAAAGTGAAAATGACAAATGTTTTGGAACTTTCATTTTTCGTGACATTTTTGTAAATTCTCCATATTCTTATCTAACATGATATCCATATTTAAGGCCTATTTAACATAGATTTAGTGAAAAATAATTTTTTTAGAGAATGTGTAGTTAAAAAGCAGAAAACGATTGTTCACGTGCGAAATTATTTCATTGGGAGAATGTATGGTTGAAAATGAGTTTTAAAAAAAAAAGTTTTAAAAAAATGAGTACCAAACAAGTGCTTAATTGTCTTGTACAAAAGTTTAGACCTTGTTTGGTTTAGTTAAAAAAAGTTCATAAATATTCAAGTAAAAGTTAATTAATTTAATCAAACATTTGATGAGGTCTATAATTTTTGTTAAAATTTTTAATTATATATTTAATCAACTTTTTTTAAGTTTATTAAAAAAATAATTTTTAACTGATCCAAGTGAGGATTTTATATTATTATATTAGAAAGGAGAGAGATTTATTTTTATTTTATTTTTTAATCTTTAACGCTTTGATATAATGATATGTGGTCAAAATAAATGATAGGACACGACGTTTAACTTTTTTAGATTTTTTTTCCTCGGTTCAGCAAGACCTGTTTCATTTTGTTTAGAAGATGAGAAAAAATTTCAATGTCAACAAACTTTTTACATGTTTCAACTTTATAAATTGTTTTTAATTGATAGTTTTGTCTGTTAATACTAGTTAATGTTGAACGTTTGTTTCACATTATTCGGTAATGCTTTATAAGTACAATTATTGTAATATTTGTTTGATCTAAATATGAAAGAAAAACAAGCATATGAAAATAAAAGACTAATTATTACAAATGCAAATAAATAATAAAATGCACTTAAATGTGAGTATTAGAATTACAACTAAATGTATAAATGAAGATAAATGGCAAATACGATACATGAATTAACGTGAATGATAGTTAATTTAGAATTAATACCAAGTAATATAGACGTGACAATGAATGTTAAATAATTTATACTAAATGAATATAATTTAATTTTCAATTAAGTGAAAATGGATGTTAATTAACATACATGAACATGAATAATGAATTACACTCTTAAATGTAAAATTCTAATTAATATTAATTAAATGAATGTGAATATTAATTAATTGAGAATTAATACTGGGGACATGTATGTGAATTTGAATGTGAAATACTAATTAAATCAATGTGAATGTTAATTAATTAAGAATTGATTATAGAAAATAAATGCATGAACAAGAATTTTGTAGTATTTATTACAGTTTGTAAATTAAACTCATATTGAAAAACGAAAAATTAGGTATTATTGAAATAATTGAATTGTAGTGGGGCTATAATCAATCGGTCAAAAAATTAGCATTTAATCTTACTTGCCACTATTAAGTGCAAAGCGTAATCAAATGACATTATTTATTACGCCAATCAGTAAAAAAAAATGTTATTAAAAAGAACAGTATGTGTTTACTGTAATATTTAAGCCAAAAATTGAAACCGAAAAAAAAAAGCGCATTATATTTACTTATTTGAAAGTATTTAATTCCAACACTAATTCTCCAATTTTATTGACTAGGAGTAACACATCACATTGTTTGACACATTGACGTTTAATGACGTATCGCAGGATTTAATGTTAATTTTTTTTACGAACAATCTATAATGCAATAGTAGAAAACTTGATTCACTCTTACAGTAAGAGAATAATTTTAGTGATCATCGACATAATTACTTTTTGTAAGAATTAGCGTAATTAACCCTATTTTTCCACCATGACACAAGTGTCTTTACCAAACGAGTGAATTTTTATGAACAAAATCCCATGATTTAATTATTTTCTACAATTTCAAATACGCTTCGACCATGGTGGAGGAATAATATTTGATCATAGTTGAGAATGTTTTAGATCAGTGAGGTTGTTTGCTGGGCAAGCTTATATATTGATTTTACTAGGATGATTGATTTAAAAAATAATTAAGAATAAGCTCGTAACAGTATTATCAAAAATTATTTTTGATAACCAAGATAAATGCAATATTTACATTTATCAGCCCGCTAAATCTTATATCTTTAATTGTCACTAAACGTATCACATGGATCACTAGAATTTTTTTTTTTTGGTCCAATTAGATTCTAAAACGTCAACTAATAATAACGACTATGTTTGTATGCTTTCGGATCAACGAAATTAGAGGGACATTGTCTTCTCTATCTTGTTTATTATAAATAAATTTCAATTTGTTCAAATATATGTAGAAAAAAGTGTTTAGTTTATAGGCTTCAACCTTTCTCGTATATAATTTAGCATGTAGTTACATATTTGTCTTTGTTGGAAAATTGTTTAAAAAAACTCAAAATAAATTATTTCTTAATAAAAATATTTTTAATGTGTAACAATTGAAAAGAATGAAATTTTGACACAATATTGCAACCATCCATTATATATTGACATGATTTACTCGACGTCACAGTGAGGAAAAATTAGGTCTAGCATTTAAAGAATTTTTTTATTCTCTTCATGATTCGTACAAAGAATTTAGTATTGCGGCTGTAATAATGCCTAGGTGCCATTTTTCTTTGGTACTTGGCAGAGTATTTATGTCAAAGACAATCTGTTGCTAGAAATTTGTTCTTCAAAATCACGTGAATGAATAAATTAATTGGAGAAGAAATAAAAAAATTGTGTGTGCCAGAAGATTGGTCGTCGCATAGACACGTACATAAAATTGGCGACCACTGGATGCTATAAGTATGGGACTGCATAGTTATAGCCTATATGGTCGCATGGTTACAAAAAGTAACCGTTATGGACCATTTTTGATTATTTTTTATTTAAAATTACTCTCTCTCTCTCTCTCGGTTTAGCGAGTTTGACAAATAAGATATTTCCCGATCCTCTTAAAAACCTGCATTTTTGCTAATTAATATTTTGCATCATCTATTTTCTTCTCAGTTGCCTGTACTTCTGCTGAATTTTTGTTCCTGTGATGCAGTGAAAAAGAGAGCACCATCTTGTATGCCTGTGACTGCAGCACTGAAGCTCTTGAGAGAGCTAAAGAGATCATTAATGCTGATAACTCAATCTCTACTAAGCATCGTTTTCATTCATTCCAATGTGACTTTTCAACCCTTGGATTTCCTATGTGGTTGGCCTGCAATACTTGTAGAGGAAGTTTCTTGGAGAAGCAGTTTCTAGGCTTCCCAGGTGTCAAAATTTGTCATTCATCTCGTTCTTTGGCATTTCATGTTTATAATCATTTTTCTTTAATACGCTAGCTAGTGAGTTTCAATTTTTTAACCGTTTTTGAGGTTTATCCAGGCGAAGACAACTGTAAGATAGATATCAATAGTCCTTCCTGCTCCGAGGAAAATAAGTGCTGCATTGGTGGAGTGGATTTCATTACCTTGGTACTTACACAGTTTGTTACTATTTTATATTGTAATTCTCTGAAATTTCGTCATAATTTAAACATCTGAATATCATCTTCTATATTTAATATGGCAGATTTTCACATTATCAGCCGTACCACTTGACAGGATGCCCACTGCTATTACCCAATGCTTCTCTATTTTAAAGCCGGGTGGTCTGCTTTTATTCAGGGATTATGGTAACAGCCAAATAAAATAGATTGTATTGAGTCTGAATCTTATAATTGCATAGAGTTTCTAACTTTTCTATTGTTGTCTAAACCTGATAAATCCTTTCCCTGTAATGAAATCAGGTCTTTACGATATGACCATGCTTAGGTTTGAGCCTGCACAAAGAGTGGGATATCGAGAATACTTGCGGTCAGATGGAACACGATCTTATTTCTTCTGCTTGAATAGCGTGAGAAATTTGATGTCTGCTGTGGGCTTCACTGAGGTATTAACAATCTTCGTAAACATAGTCCTCTTTTAACTGCTTACCTCAGGGAAACCTTGCATTTGGTGATTTCAAAATTCAAGTTCAATGATACCGAATAAGTAGTCCTTGTTTAATTTCCATCCACTTGTATGGATTATAAGTTCTTTTATCTTTGCACACACCCCCAAATAAAGTTGAGATAGGCCACATGATTCCTTTTTCCTATTCTTTTTGGTTCTTTGTTAAATCTGCTGGAAGATCTAAAACTATTTGCATGGAAAGCTGTTCATAGTTATTGCATGAAGTGCTATTATTATGAAAGTGACTTGCATGTATTGCATGCAATTGCATCTAAGTAATCAAACAAAAAAGTCGAGTTCTGAGGATAATCCGTCTGAAAACTACACTTGGGTTCTGTTAGCTAAATGCATTATTACTTTCTATTACGCCTTTGTTTTCCAATTTCCGTTTATTGCTGATATGAGACATCGCGAGTTTTTTTTGTAGCTTGAGCTCGAATATTGCTGTGTGAAGTCAGTGAATCGCCGGAGCGGGAAGATCATGCGAAGAGTATGGGTTCATGGGAAGTTTCAGAAGCCCATCTGTGATTGAAAGCAGATTACTCGTCTATGGTGGCATTAATCAGCTCTGGCACATCAATTATCTTGATTTCAATCACTTTCTTTGTTATGCCCTTTTTAAAAGGTTATGCCGTGTGCTGACACAGATGTAAAATTTATTTATCTGTAATTTATTCTCAGCACGATCTCACCGGCGCCTTGAGCGCAAATTTTGATCAAAAGCCTGGAGAGAATCAAAATGGAGTGGCGATGAGAAACCTATTACCTTTAAGCATTACAAATGTTCGTGTAAATTTGCATGCAAATTGGTATCTTCAAAATCACTTTTGCTATCTATATACATCTCAATGGGTATATATTAGAAGATTTAAATCCAAATTTTTCCTCTTATAGATAATTTACATTTTATTTTTATTTTCTATCGAAAATTGTAATTTGTATTTCCTTTATATTTCTTTGGTGGAGAGATTTTTGACACTTTGAAAATGTAAATTTCTATTTTGCACCATTATTGGAGATATTCTTAGTGAAAATTACATTGAATGTCATATTTTGAGTTTGCATTTACAAAAATGTCACCTTTTAATAGTTTTGTCCAAACTATCACTTTATGACTTTTATGTCGCTCAAAAAAATTGAAATACCTTGGATATCCTTAATTAAAATTAATTTGACTAGATGAAAGAATAGTACAAAAAACTAATTTGCATTACATCAAAAGCTTCCATCTCACTACTTACAAGGAAAAAAATATGAAAAATAAAAAGCTAAAAATATTCATTCATATAGCAAGTAAAGCCCTAAACCTAAACGACTTTCAATTTCCTCTCTCATTCTCTCTCGCTCAAGGTTGTTTGTGATTGCCAAAATATTATTTTTGCCCAGGTTTCTTGGTCTAAAAATTTCATACAGTTTACTCTGGTAGCCATGTTGAAGTCCTAAATCTATGTACATTTTATTGAAATTATATGGAATCTGCTTAAGTTTAGGAGAACTGTTGAAGATTAATATCTACTTTTTGGTATGTTTCTTTTTATTTTATTTTTTTCTGACTTGATTTGGATATTTTCATGTTCCCTTAAAGAAAAAAATGTTGTGATTCGAAAAGAGAGTAACTTGATTCATGGGATTTTTTCTGTTGATGGTGGAAAGATAGAAATGTTGGTTTGGTTGCAAGTTCATTGTAATTTTTATCTTTACTTTCTTATAACTGATATCATGAAGTCTAGCAAAGCATCCTTGTGCGCTCACAAATTTTGGTGTGCAATGAGATGGCTATTATGTAAATAGACTTCTTGCACTTCTTAATCAACAAACAATGGTCAAGCCCCTATTAGTTAATGGTAGAAGATTAACTATGAGTAAGAATAAATGTCTCTTCACTATACATAGTATTTTAATATAACTATTAAAAATGTGAATATTACAACTTTACAATTGGGCTCTTGTTTGTTTTCAATTTTCTTTTTTTTCCCCCCTGAAACGAAGAAGGAAATTAACTAGGTCGGCTGGAAAACCAGAGAGGAAACACCATAACTCTTGATAGACACTTGATAGCATACACATGGATTTAATGTTTCGTTCCCGATATTTTATCTATTGACAAGTTCATCTGTCGAGAATTACTGAGGCTAACTGTTTCAGTCCTTACCTCAGCTCAGTGTGTTTCACATTAATTTCGATCTTACATAAATAAATTCGTAAAGGGTGACTTGAAGTAATATGGGTGATACTCGTTGTATGCATTTGGTGGAAATCTTGATTGACGCTTGACATATCTTTCGTTTCAATATTTATGTTACATGCATCATAACTTTGCTTTCACTTGCAATCCACTTGTTGTATGTGGTACTCGTTGTATTCGGGTGGAACTCTTGATAGACACTTCACAGTATACTTGTGGTTTTTGGTTCATATGCGGCTAGAAATATTATATTATGGTCTGACGCATTTATTTATTGTTTTTTGTCTTTGCAGACATGGATTTGGAGCCTCTTGTTTCGGAGATAGTGACGACAAGGAAGCTTGTGTTGGTTACGGTGACAACGAGGAAGTTCCCTACGCTGGTGTGGGAAACGTTGATCAAGACTCAATTGCTTCCGTTAGCGGCATGGCGGAGGGGGATGTAAGTTTCTTGTGGGAAAATTTTGATCTGATTGGTTACAGTTAGTGGTACAAATTTTGGTTAAATGTTTATGGCCCTCTGCAATATTTTGTAGGCGGTGCGAGTGAAATGCCGGTGGAGGCCACCACAGTCGTGCCCGAGGATACGCCACCTATCACAAAGATGATGTGATCTGCACGCCTACGACGTCCTGCACCGTCTACTAGGACTCTATACACGAGGGAGATTGCAAAGAAAGCGAAAAAATAAGTGAACAGTTCTTTTTTATTTTGGCAACTTCGGCAGTACAATTGCATTCGAAAACTTAAAAGCCATGAAATTTGGAACCTGATGTATAATTGCACTTATTGAGCTCGTACTAGATGCAATAAAACTTTACTCCGATACAATTTATAATGCAAATGGATTGAATCACAAACTCTACACACCTTTTGGAAATTCTATCAAACGTTTTGTTATTTTGTGAAGCGATCGATAAAGATAGCATGGACCTAAACGATATTGCATTTTTTCACCTTGCTTTCTACGTGCTTTGTCTCAGAATACTCATTTTGCTGATGTACGACGGTCTATGTGCAGATTCGTACTCAGGACCTGAACAAGTGTCAAAGTGTTAGTCGACACGTTATTGTTGTAATGGGAGGTAGAACCAATCGATGTCCATGTCAAAGAAAGAGCGACATTGACAATGTTCTACTTAGGGTGATTGCAGAGAATGCACGGAGGAACACTTTGTTTTACATTATTGTATATTTATTTTCTGGAAAATGTTGGTTATGTTCAAGTGACATTCACTGTCAAAGAAACTGTGTGAATTTAGTACGAAAAATGTTGGTACGGAAACTGTTTTTGGCGCACTTTGTAAGTTTCTTACTTTTTGAACTCATTCGACCTAAAGATTAAAACTGGTATCCATATTGAAAAATGAAAATTGATGCATTTTATAAGTTTCTCGCTTTCGAAAAATGAGGAAATTTGTGCATTTTATAAGTTTCTCGCTTCCGAAAAAATGAAAATTATAAGTTTGACCAATATCCAGATCATAGTTTATAAATGGAAATTATAAAAATTATAAGTTTCTCGTTTTTAGAGAAATTGAAATTAATGCATTTTATAAGTTTCTCTTTGAAAACACCAATGAGAAAATAATAGTGAATGTCTGACCAATACAAGTACACTTTGTGGTTGAAGGCATAATCCACCCTTTGAAAGACTAGAGAAGCTCTTGTGAAGCTCCCATATTGAAACAATTAGTTGATACGAGATAATGGGTTCATTCACCTCCAGCAACGAATCATTCAACCCTAATATGCATTCGTCGATACTGGGTTCGGCCGCTGAATTTCCCATCATTTATCCTCGGACGATGAGGAGGTAAGCATTGAGCACCATGGTGCCGAGTTCGACGAAGTGTCAAGTGCAGAATCTAAGTCACCGAACAGCGTGCTCGATTAAGTTTTCTAGGTCAGGGGTCCGATCGATTCACCGTCCGACTCGGATGAGTAGCTGGCTCATCTTCCACATCCAGAAATAATTGTCATAAGTTCAGACGATTCTAATGGAAAAAGTGGGGGAAAAGCTTAAAATGTCGATAGCAATGCAAGTGTACAATAAATGACCCTTTTGTAGGAAATTATGTATAGTATTTAGTGGTAGGGATCATTTTGCTCACGTCCTCTGCGTACATGCAGCAACAGCAAGTCCATAATGGGTTACTGCTATAGTGTATTTTTGGAAGTCGTTATTGTTCCCAACTATCGAGAATTACAGAGACCATCTGTCGGGAACGACATATGAACAATTGGGACGTAATGTTGGTATTTTGCTTGTGAATTGTCGTTTCATGAAAATCAATTTTCCATTTCGACAAATTGTCAGTCGAAATTAATGAAACCATAATGATCGGCTAAGTTTATAATGAAAATAATGTATACATCCCGTTTGTGCTAATGGAACCATAATGATCAGTACTTTGCTTGCAAAACATAACGACCAATTTCTTATTAGCATATGATAATAACAACAAATTAATAACATAACTTCAGAATGTACACTGCATAGGGGGAACATTTTTAGGATTACATTTGACAACCACTTTTACCACCAATTTAAGTCTTCATCGTTGCGTATTTCGGCCGAAAGTATATTCAAGTTAGGGACTTTGAACTTCAATTCAATTTGAGTGTGAGGATCAAGAATACCAAGTTTGTCTTTCAACCTCAACAAAGTTCGGCTACGATAATACTTGTCGGCACCAGAATGGAAGTGGTTTTGTCCCCTCTCCACTTTCATTCGTCATCCGTATGAACAAATTTTTCCACATACGATACGATGAATCTCAAATGATTACTCATACCTGAAATGTTGGGATTGCAATGATAAGAATTCAGAATTAATATGTTAGCATTTAATAGTATGAAAGTGGCACTACATAATACGTAAATAAGTACAATAGCAAAAGGTCAAATGAAGGGTTTCCATCGTTTTGAAGTGTCCAAATTGAAAGTAAAATTGTATATCCCGACAGCTTATAAATGTCGAGTTTAACATTTCAAACGTTTAACCCGACGGTTTGTAAATGTCAAATTCGATAGTTGAACTGTCGAAAATGTCGGGAAGCAGACGGCAGTGGGTGGAACTTATGCTTCTTCAGCACAACACATTAAGTGTGGTCATTACTATTGAGCTATCAAATGACAAAATGAAAAGATCAGATTGACTTTATCATTAAAGAGACATTTAATGAAAACAGTGTTTGGTTTGAATGGAAGAAATTACTCAAAACTTTAATAGTGATAATGACATTTTGTGAAGGACTCCAAAACCAAATAAATCAATGCATAATAGTTTCAAAAATTTCAAATTAATATGCCTATGTTGTATTTAACATTTATAAAACAAAAGACTATAAGTAAAATATAAATAATTTGTAATTGTTAACCTCTCAAAATGGATGAAGAATACAGCAGAAATGTCTTCTTGATCAATGAAAATGAAAAAGATGGAGAAAATTTAGGGTTTGTAGTTTATGTTTCATTTTTAAATTTCTTTTACCCTTTTTTATTAAAAAAAATTCATATTAATCAATAAAATACACATTTATCCATGTTTTGTATATAGAAATTAAATCATCACAACAAATCAATAATTTTCCTTCAAATCAAGCATTAAATGCTACTAAAAATACGTCATTAAGGGTAATTCGGACTTTTCACTCCAAAAAAGTGACATTTTTGCTTACATAAAGTGAAAATGACAAATGTTTTGGAACTTTCATTTTTCGTGACATTTTTGTAAATTCTCCATATTCTTATCTAACATGATATCCATATTTAAGGCCTATTTAACATAGATTTAGTGAAAAATAATTTTTTTAGAGAATGTGTAGTTAAAAAGCAGAAAACGATTGTTCACGTGCGAAATTATTTCATTGGGAGAATGTATGGTTGAAAATGAGTTTTAAAAAAAAAAGTTTTAAAAAAATGAGTACCAAACAAGTGCTTAATTGTCTTGTACAAAAGTTTAGACCTTGTTTGGTTTAGTTAAAAAAAGTTCATAAATATTCAAGTAAAAGTTAATTAATTTAATCAAACATTTGATGAGGTCTATAATTTTTGTTAAAATTTTTAATTATATATTTAATCAACTTTTTTTAAGTTTATTAAAAAAATAATTTTTAACTGATCCAAGTGAGGATTTTATATTATTATATTAGAAAGGAGAGAGATTTATTTTTATTTTATTTTTTAATCTTTAACGCTTTGATATAATGATATGTGGTCAAAATAAATGATAGGACACGACGTTTAACTTTTTTAGATTTTTTTTCCTCGGTTCAGCAAGACCTGTTTCATTTTGTTTAGAAGATGAGAAAAAATTTCAATGTCAACAAACTTTTTACATGTTTCAACTTTATAAATTGTTTTTAATTGATAGTTTTGTCTGTTAATACTAGTTAATGTTGAACGTTTGTTTCACATTATTCGGTAATGCTTTATAAGTACAATTATTGTAATATTTGTTTGATCTAAATATGAAAGAAAAACAAGCATATGAAAATAAAAGACTAATTATTACAAATGCAAATAAATAATAAAATGCACTTAAATGTGAGTATTAGAATTACAACTAAATGTATAAATGAAGATAAATGGCAAATACGATACATGAATTAACGTGAATGATAGTTAATTTAGAATTAATACCAAGTAATATAGACGTGACAATGAATGTTAAATAATTTATACTAAATGAATATAATTTAATTTTCAATTAAGTGAAAATGGATGTTAATTAACATACATGAACATGAATAATGAATTACACTCTTAAATGTAAAATTCTAATTAATATTAATTAAATGAATGTGAATATTAATTAATTGAGAATTAATACTGGGGACATGTATGTGAATTTGAATGTGAAATACTAATTAAATCAATGTGAATGTTAATTAATTAAGAATTGATTATAGAAAATAAATGCATGAACAAGAATTTTGTAGTATTTATTACAGTTTGTAAATTAAACTCATATTGAAAAACGAAAAATTAGGTATTATTGAAATAATTGAATTGTAGTGGGGCTATAATCAATCGGTCAAAAAATTAGCATTTAATCTTACTTGCCACTATTAAGTGCAAAGCGTAATCAAATGACATTATTTATTACGCCAATCAGTAAAAAAAAATGTTATTAAAAAGAACAGTATGTGTTTACTGTAATATTTAAGCCAAAAATTGAAACCGAAAAAAAAAAAGCGCATTATATTTACTTATTTGAAAGTATTTAATTCCAACACTAATTCTCCAATTTTATTGACTAGGAGTAACACATCACATTGTTTGACACATTGACGTTTAATGACGTATCGCAGGATTTAATGTTAATTTTTTTTACGAACAATCTATAATGCAATAGTAGAAAACTTGATTCACTCTTACAGTAAGAGAATAATTTTAGTGATCATCGACATAATTACTTTTTGTAAGAATTAGCGTAATTAACCCTATTTCTCCACCATGACACAAGTGTCTTTACCAAACGAGTGAATTTTTATGGACAAAATCCCATGATTTAATTATTTTCTACAATTTCAAATACGCTTCTACCATGGTGGAGGAATAATATTTGATCATAGTTGAAAATGTTTTAGATCAGTGAGGTTGTTTGCTGGGCAAGCTTATATATTGATTTTACTAGGATGATCGATTTAAAAAATAATTAAGAATAATCTCGTAACAGTATTATCAAAAATTATTTTTGATCACCAAGATAAATGCAATATTTACATTTATCAGCCCGCTAAATCTTATATCTTTAATTGTTACTAAACGTATCACATGGATCACTAGAATTTTTTTTTTTTTTTTTTATCCAATTAGATTCTAAAACGTCAACTAATAATAACGACTATGTTTGTATGCTTTCGGATCAATGAAATTAGAGGGACATTGTCTTCTCTATCTTGTTTATTATAAATAAATTTCAATTTGTTCAAATATATGTAGAAAAAAGAGTTTAGTTTATAGGCTTCAACCTTTCTTGTATATAATTAGCATGTAGTTACATATTTGTCTTTGTTGGAAAATTGTTTAAAAAAAACTCAAAATAAATTATTTCTTAATAAAAATATTTTTAATGTGTAACAATTGAAAAGAATGAAATTTTGACACAATATTGCAACCATCAATTATATATTGACATGATTTACTCGACGTCACAGTGAGGAAAAATTAGGTCTAGCATTTAAAGAATTTTTTTATTCTTTTCATGATTCGTACAAAGAATTTAGTATTGCGGCTGTAATAATGCCTAGGTGCCATTTTTCTTTGGTACTTGGCAGAGTACTTATGTCAAAGACAATCTGTTGCTAGAAATTTGTTCTTCAAAATCACGTGAATGAATAAATTAATTGGAGAAGAAATAAAAAAAAATAAAAAAATTGTGTGTGCCAGAAGATTGGTCGCATAGGCCAATGATCTATGCGGTCGCATAGACACGTACATAAAATTGGCGACCACTGGATGCTATAAGTATGCGACTGCATAGTTATAGCCTATATGGTCGCATGGTTACAAAAAGTAACCGTTATGGACCATTTTTGATTATTTTTTATTTAAAATTGGTGGCTTTTCAATCCAAATTTGGTACCACTTCTTGAGAACTTGTCAAGACCTATAAATAGTTTATCAAAGTTCAAGAAAATGCNTTTTTTTTTCTCTCTAAAGGCTATATGTTAGGGTTTCATATCTATGAAGTGTTGTTCTTTTTCTCTATATAGTATATTTTCTCTACAACAAAATGCTGAACGGTCCTTGTCACTCACAGCTGCTGTGCCTGAGAAACGTTTGAGATTTAAAACGACAACAGATGCCTCAGAAAAGCAAGTTATTGATGCCATGCAGAAAATAGCTTCACATATAAAGAACCCATCAAAGTTCAATAAGGCTTCGAAGCTTGCTATACAGCTGGTTCAGTCTGGTAGTATTAAGCATGCAACTGCTGATCACTTCTTTGCTATACTTGAAGCTGCAATGTCGTCTTTGACTACTTGTAATGAACCCCATTTACAAGCTGACTATCATGCACTCTTCTTGGCAGCTCAAGATGCAGCTGACGTGAGCATTTAAAACCCTCTGGCCTTTTTGTATTTTCCATCTTTTTGTAATCTGTTGCTTAATTTCGGTTTAATTGTAATTGTTGTAGGTCCTCAACAAGAAGCAGAAAAATCTTTTAAGTGGATGGATAATTAGGGCTGTCTGGGCAAACGACCTGTTCACAGATGACAGCTTTGTAGTAAGTTTATTCACTCTTCGATTATTATATTTAGTACATGGATGCGATTTGAATTGTATGATACTTTGCAACAAGAAATGTCGGAGTTATTCATTTAGATTTTTAATTACTGTCACATGTAGTAGTTACTCATCTGTTATGCTCTTAATCGTTGTTTAATTGTGTTATATTATCTTCACTTGGAATAATCCATGTGTAGTTTTACATGTTCAGACAGATTATCATCTGCCCTACAAATGTGGTAGATAATTTAGGTTTCTTTGGCTACAGGCATTGATTGCTTTACACTTATAGTTTTACTAATATGGCAGTATGGCACAGACAGACTTCTTGTCATTAGAAATGTGGCGCTTCCATATCTGTATTTTGAGTCCACT